GGGAGGAGTGGTGGCAAGCAGCCTCTTTCTCTCCCTTACACTGTATGTAAACTACATGCCCTGGGACAGATGTAGCACTCACACCCATGAATCAATCATAAACTCTGGAATCCCGCCCCATGACTGCATGAGGCATTGGGGGGACATCCAGACACACACCGTAACACCTATGAATGCCACAAGTGTATCTTTCTTTATGCAGAACAGTACTGCATTGTGTACAAATAGCACATTTTCTTTACTCACTCATCTGTTGGTGGACAGTGGTCTAAGTCCCTTTTAATGCTGTATCTTCAGTCGCTCTTCCACAATGTGTGGTTGCAGTGTCTGAGCCAATGAAGCAGGTTGATTTGACTGCACATGTGTCACTGGTTGTCTTTGGTTGCAGAGCATTTATAAGAGGTGGGCCCAGACTATAGAATTTCCATATATTTCAGAATGTCTCTGGATTTTCATTTCAAAACGTATCAGTTACCTGAGCTTGCTTTTAAAAATGAAGGTTTCTTAGCCCATCCCTAGATCTCCTGAGCTGATTCTCTGTGGAGGCTGAGGACCTGCATTTTAGACCTGCATTTTAATCGGGACCCAGGCAACCCTTCTATGTGCAGAGGAGTGCAAACAAGTTCTCCATGCATTTCCCTGTGTGCCAGAGAAGTCTACAACCAAGAAAAGGCAGAATGACAGGGCACACCTTACTGAAACGTGCACCCAGCTCCTTGGGAGATGAGTTCCAAACCCATCAAGCTTAAAAATACTACTTAATGAATATGGTGGTTGATCCTCATCATTCACATACTCCATATTTGCAAACTCACCTATTTGTTACAATTTACCTGTAGCCCCAAATCAATCCCAGTGACACTTTCAGATCATTCATGGATGTTTGCAGAGGGTGAAAAAATTTGAGTTGCCTGGTGCCCCTGTTCCTGGGAAGGTGAGAGAGGTGGCTTGGTCTTGTCTTGTGTGTACAGCGGCGGCCACAGGCTGTGACACTAGGGCAGCGCGGGGCAGTGTGAGGACTGAAGGAGTCCACTGTCCAGCAGTCCTGAGCAGGACTTAACCAATTAGCTTTTCATGTTTACTTGTGAGTCTGTTCGAGCCCTAGGCTCCTTGTCTGGAGATGGGTGGTGGACTCATAGTAAGTGAACCTCTGTGAGTAAGCCTGCGGTGGCAGATGAAGCCGGAAAGCCTCGAAGGATAAAACAAGATCACATCCAAGGACACCTGAATCCAAGTCAAGTAGATAAAGACTGTAGCCTCAGGCATCTCACTCCTGGGTGGATTAATTTAATACCTTACTTGGAGAAGTCCTTGAGTGGTTTGGCCCTTCTTGAGTACTCCCCTCCCTTCTTCTGATAACTAAATAAATATGGGCCATCCAGAGAAGGTCTTGGTCTTAGCCCTGAGAGAATCTTGAATTTTGTGAGAGGGCTTTGATCTTCCTGGAGCCCTGGAATCATTCCATTTGCCTCTTAGCACCTTAGTGCAGAAGGTCACTTAAAAATTCTAAAACCTCTTCTCTGTCTTCCTCTTTCACCTCTCTTTATTGTGTAAAATAAATTTAAACATGAAATTTTATCATTTTAACCACCTTTAAGCACACACTTCAGGGGCAACCACAACAGCCATCCATTTGCAGAACTTTCTGTCATGTCAAACAGGAGCTCTGTGTCCATTAAACAGTAAATCCTTGTGCCCTCTTCCTGGGGGCCCCTGGGAACCTCTGTTCTGTTTTCCACCTCTGTGAATTTAACTATTCTAGGAACTTTATAGGAATGGAATTATGAAATATTTGTTATTCTTCCAACTTATTTCATTTTGTATGATGTTTTCAAGGTCCACTCATGCTGTGGCATGTATTTGAGTTTCATCCCTTTTTTCAGACAAGTAATACTCCACTGTATGTAGCATAAGCTACATTTATTTTCATCCACCTACCTGCTGGTGGACAACTGTGTTACTTCTGGCTTTTGGCCACCGTGACTAGCTGATGTGCATAGTGGGGTACAGCCTCTGTTTAACTCCTCTTTTCAAATTTTTTGCCATACACTTAGGAGTGGAATTAGGGGTCATATATTAATTCTATGTTTAACTTCTTCAGAAACTGTAAAACTGCCTCCCACAGCAGCTATACCATCTAACATTTCTACCAGCAATAGGCAGAGCCTCAGGTTGCCCCATATACTAGCAAATACTTATTTTCTATTATTAAAAAAATTAAAAATATTGTAATAGGTGCAAAGTGGTCATTTTCTGTTTTGTATGAAGAAGATGAAATGTACCCAAATTACATGTTTTCAGATTTTTGTTTTTTTGAGACAGGGTTCAGGCTGTCTTTAAGTTCACTAGATAGTTCAGGCTGGTCTCGAACTCACAATGATCCTCCTGCCCCAGACTGTTTTCAGGTTTTAAGGCTTGACTCAAACTTGTAATCCTCCTGCCTCAGCCTCCTAGAGTGCTGAGATTATTCATATGCACCAGTACAGCTTGACTGTTCTGTGGTTCTGAGGTTATACTAGCTGTGATATATATTAATATACATATATAAACATATATATTTGACATAAAATATAGAATTGCACAAAAATTTCAAATAGCCAGGCTGTTGTAACCTAACATGGTTTTATTTGTGTAAGATGAAAACTAATTTTTTTTTTGTTTTATGCTTTTTTAGAGACTAGGTCTGGCTATGTCGTTCAGGTTGGCTTTGAACTCACTATGTAGCTTAGACTGATCTCAAACTTGTGGTAGTTCTTCTGTCTCAGCCTCCTGAGTATTGGAGTTACAGGCATGAAAAATGAAATTTTTAAAGAAATAAACTTTTAGAAGTTAAAATGTCTCTATTATCTTTCTCTCCCCAGTTGTTTGTTCTGTCTCCAGAAATAGCCCCTATAACAAATATCATGTTCCCAGTGAATAGTTTAACAAACACACAGAATCGTTGTATTAGTCTCAGTTTTCATGTCTGTACAGGGAGCTGCACTAGAGTGAGTCCTGCACAAAGCAGATACCAAGATGTCATTAGATGCACAGCCTCTTCTTTCATGGGACAGCTGTGAGGGGGAAAAAAGATGAACTTCTTTGTCTATTACAACATAAATTACCCCAGAATTTAGTTGCTTCACACAAAATAAACTTATCTGAGAGTTTTTGTGTACAGGGAAACAACTGTTGGCTTCCCTGGGTCTCCTGTTTCAAGGTCTTTGATGAGTCTGAAATCAATGTGTCCATGGAGCCGGGGGCTCGGCACAGGCTGGACCGGAGATTTGCTTGCGAGGTTATTATGAGGACTCCGTGCTTCGCAGCTACCGGCGTGAGGGCCTTGGTTCCTTACTGGCTGTTGTCCAAAGGCCCCTCGGTTCCTCCCCGTGTGGTCCTCTTCTGCAAGCAGCCTGCACCCTGGCAGCTGGCTGCCCTCCTAGGGAAGGAGACAGATTGGAGGGACAGTGTCTTACACAAGTTATGCTCAGAAGTGACTTGGCCCCTCTTGGCTGTTGTGACTAGAAGCCGGTCTCTAGGTTTAGGCAACACTTACAGGAAGAGATTATGCAAGGAGGGAGCTACCAGGAGGTGGGGATCATTGGCCACAAAGCCTGGGAAACACGGAAGAGCTGTTAGACTGTGCTGAGCTCTGACCCTGTGAAGAGGAGGAGGCGGAAGAAGGGCCGGAGAGACAGTTCAGACTGCAGCCCAGGTTTCATGATGTTTCAGCCAGGCTGACAGCAGTTAGCCAAAGTCACCCATTCGAGGAGTCCCACATCAACGGAGAGTCCTGCTGTTGGATCCCTGCCACACTTGGTGTCCCTGGCTGAGAGCAGCTGGTGGCAAGTGTAGCTTCAGAGTGGATGAGGTGCTGGATTCCAAGCACAACAGCTGGGATGATCAGTCAACTCCATGCCCACTGGCAGATCTGAACACTGTGTGTGTGTGTGTGTGTGTGTGTGTGTGTGTGTCTGTCTGTCTGTCTGTCTGTCTGTTATGGTGAAGATCTAAATTGTCCTCCAATGTCTCACGTTCAGAGATGAGTCCTGGGCCAGGAATATACCTCAGCGGCATAAGCGCCTGCTTGGCAAGCGTGAGGTCATGAGTTCGATTCCTGGTCCCAAAAACAAAAACAGAGATGAGTCCTGACAAGGAGGGGGCCACTGGGAACATGAGCTGGAAGGGTGGGCTCTCCCGCGCCTCCTCCTTTCTTGCTGTATTTCCATCCTGCCATGAAGTGAGCAGCCTTCCTTTGCCAGGACCTCCCACCATGATCTTCCATCCTGGAGCCAGCTGACCATGGACTAAAACCTCTGAAACTGTGAGCTAAAATAAACTCCTCCTTCTTTAAATTGTGGGGGCTGCTGGGCGTGGTGGCACATGCCTGTAATCCCAGCACGTTGGAGACTGAGGCAGGAGGATCACTGCAAGTTTGAGACCACCCTGGGCTACAATGTGAGCTCAAGGCCAGCTTGAACTGCATAGTGAGACCCGGTCTCAAAAAAAAAAAGACAGAAAATAATTGTAGAGGCTGAGTATTTTATCCCAGTGATAGGACAGTTACTAAGACAACAATGAACATAGTATAAATTCTAATAAATTATTATTACCTCAAAAATACACTGTTGTTTTACTTTTTTGTTTTTGGGACATTTCTAATTTCTTTTTTATTAGCACATGTTTGCAGTACAAATGATCACATTCCCCAGGGGGAGCTGGTGCATGCACAGAACACGTTGCAATTCTTTTTCATCTCCTTTCCTTCCCACTTCTCCTTCCAAAGGGTGTTGAGCTTCCTTTCAATTGCGGGCTACACTACCCTCCACCAACATGGAAGTTCTCCAGACTCCTTGTTCCAGGATTTTTATAAAACTCAACTTCAGCCCAGTGTGGTGGTGCATGCTGGCGGTAATCCCAGCCCTCGGGGAAGCACAGGCAGGAGGCTAAGGCAGAAGTTTCCAAGTTTGAGGCTAGTCAACCAATTTGCAACTTAGTGAGATCCTGTCTCACTCCTTAAAAGGGCTGAGAGTGTAGCTCACAGCAAAGGGTCTGGGTTCAATCCCCAGGACTGGAAAACAACAACAAAAAAGCTCAATCTAGCAACCTTCTCTAGCCAGTTCCCAGGGTATCAGTGGGTGAGGCTGAATGTTCCAGCTCACTTATCATTTTTTGAGGCTACTTGGTGGTGAGCAATCCCTTTTTGAGGCTACTTGGTGTCCACCACCATATCTCTTCTCCTTAGCATAAACTCGAGTGTGATCTAAAGTTGTTATAGGCAGTTAAGTTAGGTAAAATATTACAGACAGTCAGATAGAGCTAGGCCCTCGAAGGAGACCCAGGAGAAGACAAGATCCCCTACAACTGTGGGGGAGACAGGCACCTCCACTGCAGGCCAAGCCTCAAAACAACAGATGAAACAAATGCACCCACATACTTCCTGAGGATAAACACCAGGGACTGATATTCTGAATAGGTATTGATCACCCTGAGGAAGCCAGGAAGAGCTGCTGACCCAACTCCCTATGGGAAGAGCCCCTGTTCTGTATTCATGCCTGCTTGCTACATGACTTGCTTCCCCATTTGATCCTGATTTAATCAATTTTACCTGAGCAATTATACTCATAGTCTTATTGATTGACCATAGTTTTGTCCCACCTCATGCCCACCTTGCGATTTCCCATTTTTCCCACCTTGCACCCACCTCGCATCATGGATTTGCCTTATAAAAATCCCTAGAAAAGGCGGGGTCCTTGGCAACCCAAGGACCTTCTGTCTCTCTCTTGGACAGAAGCTTTCTTTCCCCCAATAAATATATTCTGCTCTTAATGTGCATTGTTCCTAAAATTCATTTAGCATCACAAAATGCACTGTGCATCTTCTCCTTGAGCCAGTTAATTGCCTGTTTACATTCAGTTTCATTCTGGTTGTTCTCTCTGCCCTGCCAATGCCTGGCTTGGAAGGGTCTCGATAAATTTTTGTTGCGGTTGAACTGACCTACCATCTGGCATCTGATGTGAGTTATGCTCGAGAAGTTAACGAAGGTGCCAGCGTTTCGCTGACATCCCCCGTCTTGCCCTCCATGCTGGTATTTCTGTCACCGCTCATCCCGCCATGGAGCAGCAGCAAGAAGGAAAACTCATTTCCTGTGTCTTGCCTTTTTGTTTCTTATGCACATTTTTAATGATTAAAAGTTTTAAATTATGATAAAGTCTACCTTGTGTGTCCTATAAGAATCTCTGCCTACCCCAAGATCACAAGATTTTCCTCCATTTTCTTCCAAAAGTTTTGGTTTTTACATTAAAGTTTGCTTATAGTAAGTATAGTTATTCGTCAGTTTTTGATCACTATAACAAATACCTGAGAAAATCTACTCAGAAAGATAAAGGGTTATTTTGGTTCACAGTTTGACAGGTTTCAGTCCACGGTTTGTTGGCCTCGTCGCTTCAGGCCCGTGGCAGTACATCACGGTGGAACAAAAGTGTCTTAACGACTTTCTCGTGGCTGAGACACAATATCCAATACCCACAATTTGGAAGAAGGAGGCTTATTTTGGTTCATAGTTTTTAGAGATTTCAGTCCATAGCTAGCTGGCTCTAAGAAGAAAAGCATGGAGGAAGGTCCTGGTGGGGGAAAGCGGCTCACATGATGACATCCATGAAGCACAGAGAAGGGAAGAGGCAGGAAGGCAGATAAACACTTCTGGGTCACGCCCCCAGTGACTTCCTCTTCAGGTCAGGCCCTACCGTCCATTATTACAGTCACAGTGTCCCCATGATCCAGTCATCTTCCAAAAGGTCCATCTCGGGCTGGGGATTTAGCTCAGCAGCAAAAGTGCCTGCCTGGCAAGCGCAAGGTTGTGAGTTTGGTTCCCGGTACAGGAGAAAAAACAAAAAAAACCCAAAAGGTCCATCTCTGAACACATGAGATTGTAGGAGAGCGTCCTAGCTCTAAACCATAACAAAAATCATCACCTCATGGCCACAGTATGAAAAGAGGAAGAAGAGGCTAGAGTCCCACTGTCTCCTTCCCTGACATGGCTTCAATAGCATGAAGAACTCCCACTAGGTGCTGGCTCCAAAGGTTTTCAATGCTTCCTGGTGATGCCAGTCCAGAGACGAAGCCTTCAATACATAGTCCTTTCCAAACACAGCAAGGGGTCTTTTTGCTCCCCTAACAGTGAAATCCAACTACTCCATGTTATTATGGCTTTATGTCTAGACATCTCCCCAAAGCCTCATGTGTTAATAGATGGGTCATGGGTGTATGACACAGACTAGTCCACTGATTGGTTTGGCATAGTTCTGGGCATGGATGATGGACTTACTAAAGAGGGAAGACCCTCCCTGAGTGTGGGTGGCACCAACTGCTAGGCTTGCAGGCTGGATGGACTACAAAGGGGAAAAAAGGAAGTCTTGATGTCTCCTGCCTGCCCTGCCATGGACTGTTTCTCCTCTGCCATGCCACCCTGCCTTGGAGCCAGCTGACTGTGGACTGAACCTCTACAACCTGTGAGCCAAAGCAAACTTTTCCTTCTTAGAGCTGTTGGCCTCTGGTATTGTGAGGAAATAACTAAGAGGGAAGGGTGGAGAAGCAGACACCACTGGGCGGCTGACCCAACCTAAACAGCAACCTTGACCTTCCCAGCAAATCTCCTCTGTGTAGCGATAACTGCGTGACCCACTTCTGCTTAATGAGCTATGAATTTCAGATGCCACATCTGTCACACAAGTATTTCCCTGATGAGAAAACCTGGCAAGAAAGTGATATAGGTCAGTACAAATTCATCACCACTATAGGAAAGAATCTCAAAAGCTATGCCTATTAATAGTAAATAGGCCTAGGGGTGACACTCAGTGGTAGATCGCTTGCCTAGCATGTGTGAGGAGGCCCTGTTTTCTATCCCCCAACACCACAAAAGAAAGAAAAAGAAGAATGAAAAGAAGAAATAGTGGCTTCTTCATCTTTCAACACATAGTTCATAGCATTTTCCCCCTCTGTGATGCTTACCATTGTAAATGATCCAGCTACCTTCACTTGATCTCCAGGAAACCTGTGGCTCTTTTATGTTTAAATAGTAGGGTCCAGCAGTATTACACAAGGATGTGTCTCTTCCTACCAAATATCATTCCTCTACTACTACTCTGAGAGGTAATAGCAGAAGTGATGGTGTATAGTACTGTCTTGTTTATTTAAAAAATGTATTTTTCACACCTTATTTCTCAGAGAAAACCTCTAAAACAAAAACACCCAGAGAACTAATGGAAAATAATCCCCCTAAAATAATATTTCAAAAATTAAATCCAAGTTTCTCCAAGACACATGGCCTCATACACAGTGCTTGCGGGTGCAGGCAGACCCTGAGATAGAAATTTTCCTGCGTGAGAATTGAAATGGTGCTACTGCACCCTACAGTACTGTAACTGGCAAATTAGTTGG